ATACATGGTTAATTTACGAATTCATAACATAATCTCATGAAATATTATAAACTGAATATTTTAATGTTTGATATGTTAAATCTTGTATTCAAACCTAAAGTTTGTTGCATTTTTAAATTAAAAAAATTGCGATGAAAAATGTTTTATGATTTTTTTATATTTTTCGTAAAACTTGTTCGATCAACTTAATTAATCTCACGAATTTAAAATGTTGTGAGCCATAATAGTAACAAAAGTTTGAGAGTATCGTTGTAAAAGTTCCCATTCATAAATAATAATTAAAAGAGAAATAATTAAATCGTGCAATAAATATAAAGTGTAATGTTCGCGTAGAAAAGAAAGTCAGCCAGTAGGGGTTTAGTGATACGGAAATAATTATCATAATTTTAGCCAGCCCCATATATTAAGAGAGATATACTGTATAATGTACTTTTAGGCGTTAAATAAATATTTGATGTTTAGTGAAAATAATAATATTTTACCATTTTTTTTTTTAATTTTAATTGTGGTTAATATCTTTATAACCTAATTAATACGCATAATTATATCTTCTAAACCTTATTAGCTTTATTAAATTTTAATATTATTAAAGTAGATCTTATCACTAGTTTTTTTTTTTTACTATCGAAATACCATTATATAATATAAATGCTTTAGTAAGATGAAATTTTTAAAAAGTCTAACAAGTTAATACTTTGTTTAGTTAAACTATTTACTATATTATGGTTTAGAATATTAATTTTTTAGTTCTCAATATTTAAATATGAGATTTTTCCTAAAATTAATCTTTTTTTTTTGGGTTATCTTTGGTATCTTTTTTTTGGGTTATTTTTTTTGGTATCTTAACCATAAAAATATATGATTTGTACGGATTTCATTTCCAAATCTATAATTTGATTTGTATACTAAATATTTCATTTTTAAATAGAATAATATTTTTATTTATATGTACACGTATTAAACGATAGAAATTCAGAATTAAACATATGGGTCTATATATAAACAGATAATAGTGAACTTTTAATAGAGTTTCTATGATTTTTCTCGTATATTGTGGTATTAATACTTTAAGAGTATAATTTAACATTGAATTATATTTGCCAGTTGTAAAAAATTTACTATCTATAAAAAAAAAAAAAAAGGTAAAATGTTTTTCAGATTTTTACTACCAAAATATGTGTTTTATATTATTTGTGTTTCATCATTAATAAAAATATGAAATTAGTTAGGTATTTTAAATAATTTAATTACGTCATAATTTTCATAAATACAATTAACTTTAAGAAATATATATAAATTAATTTAGCTCCTATTTTTACTTTATTTGTTTGAAGGATAATGAAAATATTAATAAGTTATAGTTGTTATCACATAGGTATGTATCTGTATGTAAGTCTGATTGTGTTGGTTCTGCTACGAGCATATGATAATTATAGGAATTTTAACAAGGGAAGACTATCATTTGTATTAATAAAAATTATATTTATACATATTAATATTGTATAACAATAATTATGTAAGATAAATATGTTTTACTAAATGTAACTATAGTAAAAACAACTTTCGTTGGTTGTGGTGCATACTTTTTCTAAACATATTTTTTTATTAGATACCGTATAGCAATATTCATTATTAAAAGTTTTAGCTTGTGTAATATTTTATTACAATGTAAAGTTTAAGAAAATATTTTAAAGTAACTCAGTGCCCATTTAGTAAAAAAAAAAAAAAAAATTGTACGAAAACTAGAACGATGTACTTTAATTATTAAGTTCTTACAAGAAATTATTAAATTGATATACGTAGTAAAAATAAACTTTTGAATTTCTTGAATATTTAATATTTTTGTATATTACTGTCAAAGTATGAACTTAAAATGGTATTGTATCGTATTATGCTGTATCTTAGAAAAATTAAATTTTTATATGTAAATCACAGGAATGTTTAGCATATAATTATAAACCAAATTCGTAATTCACACAGAGAGAAACTTGATTATTTAATAATTTAGCATCGTTAAAATGAAATATTTATATTATTTAATGATATTTTTATGAATTTTCATCAAAATAATAACTCGTTAAATACAGAATCGAGTGATAATATTTAAAAAAATATTTGGTAAAAATGCTTGAATAATTTTAAAAAATAATACTCCGAATGTGTACTTTACTAAATACTACATTTGCGGAATATTATCCGAGTCCTATTGATTCGAATCGTACATAAACGTTTATTCAAATATTCAAATTGTTAAGTACTTTATTTTATTCGCGATGGTTAACCTAAATGTGGGTTGTACGAGTACGCACGGAAATTTATTTCGCAGCGCTAAGGCATTTAATTGTAGTTTAATTATTATTGATGGAAAATAAACGCTCAACGATTGCGTGCGGTTCCGCGCGCATTTACTAGTTGACATTTTTCGGCACGATAAAAACCTCTTGGGCTACTAGGTATTAATGGTTGTACGGAATAGACCATTAAGAGCCATGTTCGTTTGAAAAATCCATCAGCGAACTATGGAAATATTCAAATAACGTCAACACGGTATACCCAACCATGACGTCACGTTTCGTTAAGAAAGAATTACCTCCATTTTCTGTACATTTTTCTTACTGTTTGTGAAAAAAAGCAAAATAAAAAATAAAAAACTCTACAGAGTCACCTCTCAGTTTTTTGTCGTAAAGAGCGTTATTTGGGTACGTGATGCTTTTAATGCGGGCGCCCATCTCATAAAATTCAAGGGGATGATAAATACAATAAAAATGTTTAGAGCTAAAAAATTGTATCCATCCATAGAAAAAAACATCGTTTTCGAAAACTTTTATTTAAACTGATAAAAAATAATAAATACAGTCATAATTAAATATACATGACATTAATTTCTTTTGTCTTATAATAAATTAAATTGTTAATTATGCAGGATCACAGTTAGTAAATACTAAAATAAAATTAATCTTTGATGTTACTTTTATTTATAACTATGGGTTTTTTTTTGATTATGCGGAAACATTACAAAAAAACTTAACCTAACTTCCAGTGTATTGGAAGTACCCCCACCGGATGCCGGTGGAATGTATCGGTTAGACCGGTGTTTCTCAATAAATGGTTGTGACCGTGGTTTGTTTATTACTGGAGGGCCATAAAATATTTATTTTATTTAAACTATTTTCTCTAGGCTTTTATTTATTTGTATTTGTTTAAAGTTTAGTACTGTATAAGTAAAGTATTTTCAAAAATATATTAAAAAATATTAATTTATTATAATATTACTCTAATACTTACTATAATATTTCAATCATTAATCTTTGTATATGCAAATGTGGTGCATAATTAATGATTTTAATCAAGAGGTATTGAGAGTTAAACGTTAAATTTAGGGGGTTTTATAACAAAAAAAAAAATAAAAAATAAAATTGAAAAGCACTGATTTGTACGATTCACTTCCATGCCACTCTCCTCTCGCCCACTAAGAAGGAGCTTTCCCCTGTCAGACTTGTTTCTCACGTTCCACGTTCCCTTTTGTAACCTTCACACCTATCGCGAAGCTGGTGATCGCAGTCCAGTAGGACGGGCTGTCCAGTAGGATACGGTCTGGTAGCGTTTGTACTCTCCATGGCGGCCCTGCGCCGGATAGCTGTCATCTCCTCGATGCCTCTATCGATCATGGGGCAGATCGAGAACGGCCTTGTCTGAGCTTCGTGCTAAAACATTGAACATATGCGATATTGAGCTGACGAATAATTTTTATATTAATATTATTTAATAATTAAATTAATATTAATATTAATATTTAATAATATTATATTAATAATAGATTATAAGCTCGATGAATTCACATTATTTCTTATTGATTTTTCAATAATATGTTAAATCTCACGGACATTTTTTTTTTAAAATATATATATAAAATAAAATGATAGACATTTAATATATTTGAGTAAAAAATGACTTGACCAGACATATGGATCACACTTTATGGACCGCCGAAACTTCGCCAAATGGACACGAGAATTTAAAGAAGGAAGGATGAGGGTGAAAGATGTAGATAATGCGTATAGCACCATTACATCGATTGTCTTTTGATTTCTGGTATACGAATATGTCCCCAACTCCATCCATATCATTGAAAATACATTTTAAAATATTTCCATAAATATTAACCGAGTCAACATGAGTCATGCATTTTGACTAATGTGTATTATTTCGTTTATAAAAATGAAATATCAATATCTCTCGGATCATTTTGCACATCCGGTTTTACGGCATTGAGTCCAGCAGATTTTTATGCATTTTAGTGTGAAAAAAAATACCGAATGATCTCTCCGGTAAGTGTAAAAGTCGTGTAATGAAAATATAGTAACTAGTAAATCCACACGGGGCGTCTTGTATACGTATTCAGCAAATACGATTATTGAGTACAATACATTTTGATAAAAAACGTGAATCAACGGGATTGACTGTCGACACGAATTTTTACGTAAGTATTTTGAACGTTCGACAAAACGTTGGGTAATATTTGACGATAAAAAAGTTTTTGTAGTGTTCAATATAATTTTGTTTACCACGAAATCGGCTACGCGTAGACCATCTTTCCGTGGTGAACGCGATCTTCTAATGGTTATTGCTGCAAAGACGGTAAGCGTGAAACAACGGAGCGAATTATTCACCGGTTATTCCGAAGTCGGCGGACTATTGTATCCGTATCCCTGTTAACCAGTCCTTGGATTGTACAGGGAAATGTTTTTTTATATTCTTACGATTTTGTTTCGTTGGTCCCCCGTTGGGCGGTGGTTCCGATGTGTACAGTGTCGTTGCGCGCTCGGTCAGATCGTCCTGCAGGATAATAGAGACTCGTCGCCGCCCGGCCACGAGTCGGCCACCGCCGAAATCCAAGGCGTCGGCGGGCGGACGTCGTGTCGCCGCGCGCAATCGATGGGGGTCGATGCAGGCGGACCACTTGCCATGCGCTACCACCGACGTCGCAGCCACCACCTAACACGCTCGCACGCACGCTCGTCAGTCAGTCAGTCGCGTACGTACGCCGGCGGCCGGTCCGTCTCGTGTCCGCAAGTAGAGAGCCGTCTTCAATCGCGCGCGCCTTTGCTAACCCTCGTGCTGCGTCCGCTCCGTCTAGTTCCGCCAGTCTCGTCTCTCGTCTCGCCGCCGTCGCCGCCTCTCGGCCCCGGGCCGGCCGTTAGCAGGATACGCAGGAGACGCCAACCGGTCACGTGTGCGTGTCCACGCCGAGTGTTTTGTGCTGCCTTCGCCCACCGCGTATTCCGTTCGCTTCCGCTTCCGGTCCGGCCGTGACTTCCGGCACGGTTTTACCGACGCTACAACCCTGTCAACGGCCGCCACCATCCAGATCCCTGCTGTTTTGGCACGTGGCTTCTCCATCGTCTCGTTCGATCGCCGTCACCACCTTATTCGCGCTTTCGCTCGGACAACTACGACACACGCGGGACGCTTTCGTTTTCCGATGACATGTGAGTACGACCTGCAGACCGCCATGGGATGCATGTATCCATATCCATTGCACAATCCCGGTGTTATAGATATTATTTGTTTCAATTTAAATGCACCGTTGTAATACTAGTTGTTATGCTTCTCTCCATGTAAAACACATGTTGTATACAATTTTCATCGGATAGTATTGAAGGTTATGTTAGTATTGTTCTAGACAGCGAATTTTCACTTTTTTTTTTTCATAATGTCCACACCAAACATTATCGAACATAACCAAACTAACCCCGGTAGCCGTATCGTCTCGTTAACAAATAAAAAAAAAAAAAAACACGGTAATTGCAAGCTCAAATACTCATGTGAACCCGTGTTCTATCAGGCACCCCTTGCCAACTCCCGTCACTGACTCGCCACACCGTGATCATTTCGCGTCAGTTCTGTATACCGTTAATCTCAAGCCGAGAGTTATATGATAGTATATCGTCTTAATAGTATTTTTTACACCTACTATCCAACCGACATCCGTTTTAAATTATGTTTATCGAAAATTATACTTTACTCTTCCACGAGTCCGATTCGGCGTTATCGTATTACATCGCACCACGTCTTTTCCGATCATTCGCGTTCTCCTGCACGTTTTATAGACGTCATGTATATGGTTATATATATATATATACATATATTCTGACAAAGTTCTCGTTCTTTTCTTTCCTCTTTGCTCACACGGTAGTCATTAATCAGAGTCCAACGACGTCATGGGGTGGGTCGATTATGCGCATATATCAAGATAATTGATGTATTTTAGAAATCTTTTCGCACATTATCCGTTTTTCAGGAATATTATTTTGTGTATCGTCTGTTTTTCACACGCGTATTCCTTCAGGTAGGTATCCAAACAGTATACATACCACGTATATTAGTATTAATTTTGTTATCTTCGTTTATAATAAACGTCGAGTTACATTTCACATCTACACGCATGGTATGTATGGTCAACAGGCCCCTATTCGTTTTCAATACATGGTACTTATTGTATAAATATTTATTAACTACCTCACTTGCCCCTTCAGAAAATCTCAAAAACACTTATCTCATTAATTTACTGCTATAAGTTTATTAAGTTGTTCAAAATTATTAATTTGAAACATTATAAGTATTAAATAGACTGTTAATGTTAACCATCCACTATATACCCTGTACCGACCATTAATGCCAGGTGGTGCAATTTCACCGTATTTAGTACGTATTCGACACCACTGCACGCGGTGTTTTCACACAGCCGGCCGACCGATATTCCGATATGATGTGACGCGGAAAAGTGTCAATTTTGGGTAGGAAAATTGCAGTCCGTAATATAACATTTATTCTTACCCTTATGATCTGAATGCGATTATTATTTTGTTGTAACTAAAATCAGCTCGATTCGTCTAAAAATCGTTGAACATTGCAGTTCTTCCGTGAAAATCGATGCATGTTTGTTAGAAACCAATGGTTCAAAATAATCTAAAATATATCATAGTAAAAAATCGTATATACTAAAATATCATCGCCACCTTATATATTTTTATATATAGACACACACATAAATTATATGGTCGGATGTTGTATTTTTATTTTATTGTATGAATTTATCTATATATATATATATATATATAAATATATAGATTGTATTTGTCATCATCAACTGCAGCATTACCATAGTAATACATGATAACGAAATCGCTTTGTTCACATTATATTTATGACCATACGTTTCGACGACGACGAGCGACGGCGTGATGCGATCCGAGATCCGATAAAATTATAGATTTGTTACGTAAGCAACGGCACTTATAATAATGTATCACGATTATAGCGTAAGCTCCGGTCGCAGTCAATAAAGGAAAATAGCAAACGTTTGCCGTGTACAAACTCGACGGGGCAGAAGTAAAAATATCTGAGGGTAATGCGCTCCGGAAAACTTCGTGTGGCAGAGACGGATAGATGGTATTTATTGTATAAAGCTTCGGGTTAATTGTTTAATTGTGGATCGGGAAATCATTAATAGCATGTAGAACGGAAATCAACGACCCCTGCGATAACCCAAGGCCATATTGATACCATTGTGTGTTCACAAATAGTAAATTTTGTAGGTAGTTTCAAATTAATTCAAATATTATATACGCAGCTAGTGGAGGTTTTTACATATCATAGTTTGTGTTGATTTTCGATTTTTTTTTTTTTTTGTTAGTTTTCAACGAAAAGTCATTATAGCTTGACAGCTATACTCATTATATACATAGATTAAAATATACATTTTAATATTTGTTAATAGTATAGTAATAGTAAGAATAAAATGTCTAGAATTATATAATATAATAAATGTCCAATACCAAAATCGATTTAATCAACGTGATTAAGTATGTTACTTTAGTTTAATTAAGCAACGGAACTGGAGAATATAATAGAGTAAAGAATGTGTATAATATATCAGTAAAAAGTGGAAATAATGGACAGATTAGAGAGCTTGAATTTGAAATAATTTGTGATTATGTTATTGAAATAAATACTGAATGGGTATTTTTTCATTCGTAGCGGCTTAGGCGTATGTTTGAGTTTGTGACTGGGTGTGAGCGTCTGGAACTCCGGTTAACAGAGCTTTTGGAGTTTTAAATTCGTTTATTTATTCTTAATCAATTCGAGTCGAAAGAATGTTTTTTTGTAATTAGCCAAAATATTCTTACGGTTAGCGGTTAACAATGATAATTCTGTACGTTGTGATTTCGATTTAATGGTTTCTTATCAATAAAAACATGCTAGTTCAATATTTACAACCAAATGTTTACCACGAAGAGGCGCAGCTATTTTAAATGAGTGAGTAAATAAAATTAAACATAACATTTATATTTATATGCTATTAATTATTATATAAAATTTGAATACAAGGTAGTAATTCTCAAAAATTACAAATTTATAACACTTTGTGATTTTTGAAAAAATAATGCTTATTATTTTTAAGCCATATATAATACTATTCTTGTTTTTGAAAATTTATGATCTATACATTTTCTATGCTCAGGTGTAAATACATATTTTAAATTTAAAAACATTTTAGTATCAATATTTATATCATGGGACTCATAGATTCAATATTTAAAAGTAATTTAAGTAAAAAATCTTTTTTAAAGTAATGAATTTTACTATCCAAATTCGTGAAATTATTTTGTCAGGCTATTCTGTAGATGTAAGGATTTTTATGACATTTTTTACATTAAATATATTCATCTCTGGAATGAATAAATGAATAGAATTTAGAGAGACACATTTTTTTATATTTCTTTAAGATTTAACTATGATGTAAGGATGAAACTTGACAATATTTTTTTCGCTAAGTAACAAAAATATATAAATATTAAATATTCAACAATGTCAAATCAGAAAAATATGCTCAACATTTTTTTAAAACTAACATATACGTCAAAGTTCAAGCCAAAAGATTACTTAAATAATCTAAATTGATCTTGTGCTTCTCCATTCATTACAATTACATTTTCCTAACCAAAAGGGTATAAAGTGGTTAAAAGTAGGTGCAGTTGAGTTGTTTAAGCTCTTGACAACAAAATAAATGTCCTTGTGTAACTTGTTACGGTATTCTATCAATGTTCTGAACCTTTTCAACCAATATATATAAACCTATTATATTGTATTGTTGATAAATTGCTTTATTTTTATACTTGTTTTGAACTACTATTTAATATTTTAAGGCTTATTGTACTTTAAAGGTTATTGATTGTTTTTTTATATTGAAGAAAAGCTATACTTATGAACATTATTACTTTAAGTTATTATAGTAATTTGCTATATTTTAATTTCCAAAAAACTGAGATATGTTGTATGAGTATTGTTTTACAAGATGGAAGTAAATGCAAAAATATCACTTAGAAATTCGTATTGTGTGAAATATTTTGTTAATTAGGTACATCAATTTAAAAAATTGTCAGTCAACAATGTTCAAGTATCAAATTGATGGGTTATTTAGTATAACTCAGAGTTTATTAAAAGAGCTAAGATAGTAGCATTTATTTTGTTTATATTTATTTACTTTTGTATATTAAATGAAAAAAAATATGATGCCATCATATAAAATAATCGTTCTTAACATTTTTAGTCTCATATTTGAGTGCTAAGTATATAGTATACAATTTTTCACATTAAATGTATGTTTAAGTATAAATATTCAATATATATTACCACTTTTATATAAATCAACTGTATTATAAATTACAGCTTAAAACATTTATTGATCAATAGTTGTGAATTGTCCCAATATAATTATAGAAAAACATTTTAGTGTTATAAACACTATAAAAAAATGTTAATCATAACAGAAAAATAAAAAATGGTGTCACTTAATTTCATAATAACTACAGTCAATACTTAATATGATATATATTAAAATGGTTTTAATTTGTATTTCATTTATTCAAACTGTGCAGTGCACATAAAGTTGTATACATTTAACTGCTATGGATGCGTAGCTTAAGTAGTACTCAACACCACGTTCACCAATACGCTGGTTAATGTTAATTAAAAATATAAAATACATGACTGAATCGTATCACATATCCCCAGAAACATCTGAAAATATTTACACAATTGAGTATTAAGTGGATTTAATGGATGAAAAAATTGAAACAATAGTTACAATTCCAAAGATAACCTTTAGGACTTTTAATTAAATTATACAAAACATTAGCTATCTCTTTCAGTTGTCATTTAAAGTGTGTAATTTTAAATACTTAGAAAAAACTTCTAAAAACGTATACGAAAACAATGTAGATTATAATTTAAGTAAGTACCTCGTATAAGAACAGGAGTATAGTTTATAATATGCATGACGGAATCGTATAGGACTTTCATATTCTGTTAAAGAAAAGTTTGAAAGTTTGCGGCTTATTTAAGGTATATTATATTAACCAGGTTTCATTATGTAGGGACACATTTTTTATATTATAAATATATATTTAACCTCTTTTCGTGTGCA